GGGGATGGAGAAGGAGACCCTCCTCCTCTCTGCCCCCAGCCCTGGGCTGAGGCCATGGCTTTGGGCTCCCCTAGGACCGTTCCATCTCTGCTGTCTCTGCCTTCCGCTCCTTCTGCCTCTTGCCACTACATGAGCCTCCTGTAGAGTAACTGGAGCTGGAGAAACGCCTGCATCCATCCAGCTGCCGCTGTGCTCCAAGACTTTGATTAAGGGTCAGCGGGTTAGCTGGTTGCCATTCAGCATGCAGGCGGGGCTGGGCATCACCTGATCCCTCTCCTCCCCTAGGCAGTGGCTCTGCCGCGAGAACAGCAATGAAATGAGGGTGTCTGGAGGCTCAGGGAAGAGAGAAAGTGGGGCCCAGAGCCTGTCCATTAGATACCAAGTCTCCCCTGCCCTGACTCTGTTCCTGTACACCAGGGGCACCCCAGCTAGTGCACCCCAGCCACTCCCAGAGATCCTCAAGCTTCAGGAGACTCACAGGAACCAGCTCTGACCTTTCTGCAGAAGTTCTGATGGTGAGCATCCAGGCTGTGCTTACATGCTTCCAGGGATGGGGAGCTCACTTCCTATCCACACAGCCCATTCGTTCCAGAGTGGGACATTTCTGTCTATTAAAAGTTCTTTCAGGCTTCCCTGGTGGCGCAGTGGTTGGGGGTCCGCCTGCCGATGCAGGGGACGTGGGTTCGTGCCCCGGTCCAGGAGGATCCCGCGTGCCACGGAGCGGCTGGGCCCGTGGGCCGTGGCCGCTGGGCCTGCGTGTCCGGAGCCTGTGCTCCGCGACGGGAGAGGCTGCGGCAGTGAGAGGCCCGCGTACCACACACACACACAAAAAAGTTCTTTCTTGTATCAAACTGGAATCTATCTTTCGATAACACCTCCTCCCTGGCCTGTTTCTGGCCTTTGGAGACATGCAGACTAAGGCAATCTCTTTTCTGTGAGTGGCCTTCAAGAATTTTAAGGCAGAAGTGTTTCCTTCCTTCTGGACAGCATCCTCTCTTTGCTGTCTAGACACCTCACCTTGCCTGTTGCTCTCCTCTAGATGTTGCTGTCTAGACACCTCGCCTTGCCTGTTGCTCTCCTCTAGATGCTCCTGTTGGCTTTGGAGTCAAAAGCCCTTGGTCCCTGTTCTGCCACGTAGCAACGTGGTGCTCTTGGGCATAGCATTTCATGTCTCTGAGACTCAGCTTTCGGATCTATAAAATGGGGACAAATTGAGTGAGAATGGGTGTGAAGTGTCTAGCACAGTGCCTGCCACAGAGCAGGTCTGCAAGGCTCCATGGTCCCTTCCTCTCCCTTATCCAGGAAGTCTCCTTCTCCCCATCCCCAGACTCCCTTGGAAGGCCCATCGTACCCCTATCCTGCCTCTGTGCAGCCAGGCTTCCCCCGTCTCTCCTCTCCCATCTACAGGCAAAGGAGGCAACCCTGTGCTGGGGTCGAAAAATGGCCCTGGTGGTAAGAGTTTTCCCTGACATTGAACTCCCTCCTGCCACTGCAGCAGGGTGTCGTTTCCTCTGGCCGAGGCCTCCTGGAGAGAGTTCTTGGAGGATTTCTGGCTGCCTCCACCTCCCCACCTTCAGCTCCTTTTCCCCCTGAGGAGTCCCCGGCCACCCCCCCGGCTCAGCAGGCGCAGGGCACACGGCTGGGGCACTATTTCAAGACTTTGTGTTTCCGGGGGAGGTTCTAATTACCCCTGGAGACATGTCTGATTACAGACCCCCACGGGTGCATGGCACACACTGTTTATGTTCTGCCTTAAGTAATTGTATCTTTGGTGAACTATGCAGTCTTGTGGAAAAATACAAGTCTGGCAGTGGAACGAGAGATGCTGAGAAGGTCTCGGCTGCCTCCCAGCCTGTCTCCACGAGCTACACGCCCAAGTCCTCACCAGAGGCCCGGGGAGTGCTTTGGCTTGGTTTCCAAGACACTTCTCACGTGGCTTCCATCTTCCACTGTCAGTGTGGGACCCCCCCCCCCACAAAAGCAGACCCCAAGTGGAAGATTGCTTAGTGGTCACAAACCCCGCCGTCCTTACACGCACAGTGTTCACTGCAACTCCCGTTCATAGAGGAGTCTGTTTCTCCAAACCTGGGTGGCCTGGGATTGCCCTGACCTACAGGATGCAGTGCAAAGGGTGTTTGTGATCTGAGGCCTAGGCCTTAAGAGGAGCAGCTTTCTCCTTTGCCATTATGGGGTATTGTCCTGAGGTGTCATGCATGGAAGCCAGTCTAGCTACTGCAGGATGGGAAGCCCTGAGTGGGAGAACAGAGTCTCCCTGGTCACGGGCCAGCACCACCAGCCTGTCTGATACGTGGGTGAGGCCAACTTTGACCTTCCAGCTGGATGTAGCTGAGAGACTTGGCCATACCGCAGAGGAGAAATGAGAAATGAGAAATCGTTGGGAGAAAGAGAGAAATGAGAAATCGTTGCTGTTTCCAGCCATTTTGGGGTAGTTTGTAATGTAGCAATAGTACCTGAAACAGAGTCTGGCGCAAGTGCTCTATTTGGGAGGCGATCGCAGGAAGCTCTGAGGAGTGGGGAGGTGAGATGGGGGAGGGGAAGCCAGGCGGGTGTGTTCATGCAGGGTGGCTGGGGCTCAGCCTCACAAAGGGACCCTCTGAGACACTGTGCCCAGTGTCCCTCAGATCGGTCCCACAGAGCAGGGAGGAAGGTGGGGGGTTTATCCCCATCTGTGGTGGGTGGCCTCCAGGCTATTGACTCCCTGGCATTTTGAGCCTGCCCTGCACAAGGGCTGGCACCCCCTGGGGTCAGAGACCTCCCACAGGCTGTGGCTTAGGAAGCAGCTGGCATGTCCATCTGGAGGTGACCTCTGGGGTTGGCTGAGGGGATGTGGGCATGACCCCAGCTACTTGAGCAATCAGTATTTACTGAGCACCCATCATGTACCCAGCTCCTTCTAGGCTCTGGGAACACACTGACGGACAGGACAAGTTCATCTGCCCTCTGGTGGCTCATAGTCTGGAGAAAGAGACAAACAAATGAGAACAAATTCTCCATGGGGACAGTGCTGTCCCTTAGGGAGAGCTTTGGGAATAAGTGAAGGTGTTTTGATGGTCACAATTACTATAGAGGATGCTGCTGGCATGGAGTGGGAAGGGCCGGTGATTCCTAAAGTCTTACAAACCACACGGGAGAGTCTTGCATAACAAAGAATTACCCCGCATCCTGCCTGACTTTCAAATATCCTGGTTGACATTTAAATAGGTGAAAGTCTGTTTATAATTATTTGAGCCTGGAACCTAACTCTGTTTTGTATATAAACATAAAGCATTTGTGTCCTGAATTTCCAGGAATACAACTACCGCGTAAATTGAAGGAAGACTGTATTTTGTTCTGTTGGAAACATTACCCAGAGTTATTCATCATTTTTGGAAATTCACATTTCCGATGACAATGCTCTTTGTGGTATTTGAGTCCCACCCATAACCCCTGAATGTCAGGCTGCATTTGAGGCTGCGGCCCTCGCGTTGATCCAGCGTGTGGGTGCAAGGTTCTGACTTTTTCGTTGCGTCTTCCCGTGTACTTGAACCTGAGCATTTACATATTGAAATACATTTTTTATTAGAAATGATCTTTACTTTACTTTTGTATTATAGTTAAGACATTATGTTGATTTATTTTCAAACGATGTGTCTAAGAAGGTTATACGGTCTATGAATTTCATTTCAGGATTGTAAAGGAGCCATTGCAAGCTATTTGTTATAAAAGCAGGGGATATAGGGCCTAGAACTAAAGGAGCATTTCAAGCCGATAGCACTGCAAATATGGGGTTTTGGAAAACAGAAGGAGGAGAGTCTTTCAATGGGGAGTGGGCCCCTGGGGAGGTCAAGGATCAGGGAAGACTTCACAGGGGAGGTGACACGTCAGCAGGTCTCAAAGGATGAATTCACAGAGCTCCCCTAAACAGTTCTGAAGGGTGGACAGGCAGAAACTCAGTGAGCTCTCAGTACATGTCGGTTGCATGGATGAATATTTAAGTTGTTTCACAAATGAACAAATTGCAAATTGAAGCTTGAAGAGGTTAAATGACTCCCCAAGATCCTAAGCTCTGAAGTCAACTGAGCTTATCACATATTCACCTAGCAAACGTTTTGGACCACCTACTACATATCGAGGGCATATAGGCCCTGCCAGTTGACATCTATTTACTGAACATCTACCGGGTGTCAATATTGGGGCTATAAGAGAGAATAAGACAAACCTTCTCACTGTGCAGAAAATCAGCATGGAAACCGGGATTTCTCAGCCTCGGCTCTACTGACATTGTGGGCTAGATAATTCTTTGTTGAGGGGAAGCTGCCCTGTGCATTTTAGGATGTTTAGCGGGGAATGGGGAAGAGAGTCTCCTCTGTTATCGTCATCGTCACTGTCATCGCCATTGTCGTCATCAGCATCACTTCTGATTACATGACACTCCCACATGCCAAGCACTGCTCTTTACACGTATTGACACATTTACTCCTCTCAACCTATAAGGTAGGTGTGATTATTTTCTCCATTTTACAGATGGGGAAACTGAGACACAGAGGAAGCCGCACGAGCAAAGTTCTCGAGCTCGGCATGTTTTAGGGGCCAAATGATGGTCAGCGTGACTGGAGCAGAGTAAACACAGGGGAGCGTGGTGGGGAATGCGTTGGGGGCCAGGGGGCAGAGCATGCAGGGTCTCGGAGGCCATGGGTGCCCTGGAGACCGCACCCCTTCTCCTCTGTGGCTGGGAGGGTGGGCAGCTGAGCTCTCTCAGCTGAGTCCTTTGCTAGGAATTGTGGTCAGCTGAAGAGAGCTGTCTGGTCCCCTCAGGGTAATGCCCTGTGCCCGGGGGAAGACAGCCCACAGCCATGACAGGTCAATGCTGGGTGTAAGGCTTGACCTCCCTTCCTGGGATGCCTCGGAAGGACCATCCTACCCCAGGGCTCCCGTGGGATCGGCTGAGGCCTCTGTTACAACTGTATGGCAGCTCACCTTTTCCCTTCCTTCCCCAACAGGTCCCGATCCTGAGAGCACACCCCAACCAACCTCCTGCACACTGCTGTCCACCTCAGAGGCTGTCCAGGGAACCTGATCTGCAACATCATGGTCAGGTACTGGTTTATTTATTCTGGTTGCAACAGAAAGCCATTGGGGCATTTAAATGCGGGCAGAGTGTGACCTGAATTACACTCTAGAAAGTTTGCTCTGGCCGCTGTGTGAAAGAGCAGGGGTGGCAGTGAGAAGGCCAGCGGGGGACAGATGTAATAGTGCAGGTGAGAGGTGAGTGTGGGGCTGGAGCACTGGAGATGGTGATAAATGGTCAGTTCCTGGATATGTTTATTTAGGAGGCGGAGCCAATAGGACTCTGTCGGGTGTGATGGAAAGAAGAATCAGGGATAACTCTGGGTATCTGAGCCTGGTGGATGGTGGTGCTACTTGCTGAGATATGGAAGCCTTTATAGGGAAAAGGAGTGGATTTGTGGAGGGATCAAAGATTCTTCTTGGACCGGCTGAGTTTGAGATGCCTCAGATATTCAAGGGGAGATGTTGAATAGGCAGTTGGGGAAGTGAGTCTGCAGATCAAAGGAAGGGTCACAGCTGGAGATACAAGGGGAAGGCCGTCAGCACATAGATGGCGTGTGCAGTGTGAGGAGACCAGACCCCCTGAAGGGAGAAGGTTCATACACAGTATAAGGGGGCTGGGGCACCCCACGATTTAGGGCCCAGGCGGAGGAGAAGCCTGGAAAGGGGATTCAGGAGATGTGGCCCTGAAGGAGGAAGAAAGGTAAGTGAGGTGTTGTCAAGGAAGCAAGAGGAGCAATCATTTCAAAAGGAGGGAGTGGTCACCTCGATGAAGACTTCTGAGAGATGAAACAAGGCAAGGACAGAGACGTGACCATCGATTTCTATTAGGTGTAGGTGATTGGTGACCTTAACTGCAGCTGGGTCAGTGGACAGGTGGTGACGAAATCTGCTTGGTGGTAATGAAGGAACGGGGACGAGGAGGTGGAGAGTGGACATGTACAACTCTTTGGAGGAGTTTTTCTATGAAGACAGGTGAGGGAAACAGGGCAACAGCAGGAGGGGATGCGGGGAACATGGAGGCATTTTTAAGATGCACTGTATTAAGGCATGTTTGTGTGGTGATGGAATGTTCCAACAGAGCGAGAAATGACGATGGTGCAGGAGAGAAAGGGGACCACAATAAGGGCAAAGTCCTAGAGTTGGCAAGAGTGGGTAAAGATAACTCACAGTGGGAGGTTGGAGGTAGATGGAGACTCTCCTTGTGTAATTATGGGAGGGAGGACAGACTACATGGGTTGAGATGCAGGTAAGAAAGGAGGAATTGGTAGGAGGAATTCAAGGCAGATCTTTATTCCTGATTCTATTTTTTTCCTATGAAATATGAAACAAGATCATCAGGCGAGAGTAAAAGAATGAGAGATGCATTAGAGATTCAAGGAGAGAAGGTGGGAAATGGTGTTCTCAGAGATTAGGGAAGTGAATTTTCCAGGGAACTATGGTAGGATTCCCGGGCAGTTTTGAGAGCCCATCAGTATGAAGTAGGTCCAGTCATGATGAGTGCCTGATTGTCCGTGGTGGCTTTCAGCTGTTCGGTGCTGGCACAAAGTGGATGGATCGCTGGGTTTAACCAGAGTCAGGGTCTTGCCAGGTAATGTGACAAAAGCAAAGAAGGACGAGGGTGTTGGGGGCACTTGTGGTGGGATGGCTGGAATGCTGACCCGTGGCATCCAGGCTGGTTAAGGGAGGCTGCATCCAGGGTGATGGATTTGAGAAAATGGAAGCGGTCTCTATGAGGTTAGTGCTGCTAGGATGGGGGCATCAGAGTGGGTGAGATGGAAGGAGAGGGGTGACGGGCAGAGTATTTTCAGAGATGTTTATAATCAAGATTTCAAGGGAGGTGCAGATATGATAATGTAAGGTTTAGAGAATGAGCATATGATGGGAAGGTGGAAGGAGATCAAAAGAACTGAGAGGCCAGTGCATTGCCTCGACCCTCTTCATGGATGCTGGCTAATGACAGGTGTTTGATGGAGAAGGTGGTGAGGTGAGTGCTCAGCTCATCAGTGAGTGAGGGCTGTGAATGATTGCAGCTAGCGGGGAGGCAGGCGGTAGGTATCTGATGCCGTGTCCTTCAAAGACGGTAAAGCAAGAAGCCAGGGAAATTTCTGGGAAGTGAAACTTAGGAGCAACGAGTGTGAAAGAAAATAGATGCCACTTGAAAGGACTGTAGGAGAACCTGTGTTCTCGGAGGGGAGCCAGTCCTCGAGCAAGAAGGAGAAGGGAAACTTCAGAGAAAGCCGGGGATTGGGTGTATTTGCTAATGACCAGTGGATCCAGAGGGCTGGGAGTCTGGGAAGGGGTGGGAGATAGGGTCTGACTAGGGGTTGTGCAGGACAATGTTGGGATAAGCCCTGGGACCAAGGTGGGGGATGCCAGAGACCTGGATCTAACTGGGGACAGACTGCCTCAGCAGGGGGATGATGTGTGGGGTGGGGAAGGGAGGGGGATGAAACCTATCATGGCATTGGTCCTGCAGGCCCAGGTAGCTCTTCTGTCCTGTAATAGGGGATTTGGGCTTCTGGGGGATGGGCAGAGGCCTCCCTGGGGGCAGCCTGTTAGGCCGATTTAGGGCGGCTTGCAGGAGGGGTCCTTGGAGAGCAGTGGCAGCTAGAAGCCACATTTCTTTTTCTCTTCTCCCTCTACCTGAAACTGGGTTTTCTTCAAGAATACTGATAACCCTGCAGCCCTTTGGAAGGGAGGTGACCTTTTCTTTCTCTCACAGGCTACCTATGGACCTGGGATGGGATCCTGGGGTGGGGTCTGTCTCCTCCTTGCTTGAGGGCTTCAGGCTCCCCACCAGAAAGGGCTGACCTCCAAAGCGCTCAGCAGTGAAAGCTGGTCTTCCCAGCCAGTGGCCGGCGTGTCCAGCGCTGAGTCATGGGAGAGGAAGCAGATCTCTGCCCGCGAGGAAGGGCTCCAGGGCTTGGAAGGGAGGTTGTTCAGGTGCAGGGCCCCAAGTGACCTGAGCGAGCAGAGGAGGCTCGTTGGAGAGCTGAGGGCCTGGAGTCTAGCGAGGAGAGGGCAACGGCTGGCAGAGCATTGGGCTCTCAGGGGTCAGGATGGGTAGGAGGAAGGGCCAGAAACTCTGACCGCATATTGGCCGCATGGTTCACTCATTGATCTGCAGGTGGCGAGAGTCACGAGAGCTGAAATGAGCAGCACCTGGTCAGACTGTGTTCTAGAAGGTTCACCTCAGCAGCATGGGTGGGTGAGGGAAGGGGAGCGGCACCCACCTGGAGAGAGGGCACCAGTTCAAAGACTGAATCCAGAGCTGCGAGTGAAGCTTTTGGCTCCTGCCCAGTGGGCTTCCATGCTCCATGCAGGTGGGGGCCGGGGAAGGAGGCCTTTTCCTTGCTGAGCGGCTTCCACATGCCTCTTGGCTCCCTACCTGCCTTCTCCTAGGGTTCCGTCCCAGCCTGGAGTCTCACTCCCAGCTGCCCCTGCTCCCCAGGAAGGGTTTGGGAGCCAGGGTTGGCTGTTGCTGTCCTCCTCAACACTCTTGGAATCCTGGGGCTCCATCTCTGGTTTTGAGGTGGAAAAGAAGTGGGGGGATTGCTTGGGAGCAGGTCTCTGGGGCCCTGGAATCCAGAGTCAGGCTTGCCAGGGGGACCTTCTGTCTAGGATTCAACCCCTCCCAATGTCCCTTAATCCCCAGGGCTGGAGCCAATTTGACTGACTATTTCTCTCCGGCATAGCCAGAGGCCTCTGGGTACAGACGGCTTTGCTTGGATCTGACAGGCATGGGGTGATTGCCCCCCAGGGTTACACCTCTCGGATGGTCAGTTCCTCCCTGACCTCAAGCTCTCCCCACTTTCATGGCTGGAGGGTGAAAGCCTGACTCATAGTGGGGCATGACTTGTGTCAGGTGACACAGTTTCTCCCTGCTGACCCCGGAATTAGGGAAGGCTCTATCCTCCAACCCACTTTCTGCTCAGCTTTGGAGGGCCAGGTGAGCGTAGGGAATGCACGGTTCCCTGGCCTGGGTTTTAATCTCAGTTCTGCTGCTACCCCTGTCGACGTCGCCCTCATCTCCCCCGGGCAGGAATCATGTCACCAGTGTCCATTCCTGGGTACCTCACTGCAGCACCAGAAGGCGTCCTTTATTTGTGCCCATTTCACAAACGAGGAGACTGAGGCTCAGAGGGGTGAACTGACTTTTCCAAGGCCATATAAGTGAAAGAAAGAAGTGTGTTTGAAAACAGACTCTCCTGGCTCCAAATCCAGTGCTCTTTCTGCTGCCTGGGGCCTTGGTCCTCCCATCTGGTCAATGGAGGAGTCTGGACTGTTAATCTAGAAATTTCCTCCCTGGTCTAGGTTTTAGGGTATCTCGGGGGAGTGACACGTTCGGGAGCAGAGCTTGTTATGGGGGAAGGGAGTGGGGGGCATGAAAGGGGCAGGAGAAACTTTCCAGCTGGGTCCCCCATTCTCACATTCAACTCTTGACATTTTTTTTCAAATGAGTTTATTTCTCCTGTCTCAGAGCTACCCTGACAGGTTCAAAAGAAACTGTTCATCCCATAACTTTAAACTTGGTCCTATTACCAGACCACACCATCTGCAGCATATTATGAATTAATTAAAAATAAACCTGTAATTATCTTGTTAATAGAGCAATTATATTACATTGTAATTTTTGTGTTAAAGCTTTAAATTGTTAAATGTTAAATTGTAATATATACCATACTTTTTGTAAGCCGAAATCAGCAAAGTCTCATTGTTTGAACACACTGGGAACCTCAAACAATGAAGTGGCCTCTGAGGGGCCCCACGGTCACAGGACCTTTCCTGGAGCCTGGTCAGAACATTGGGCAGAGAAGGAGGCAGGCTCTGTATTTATTTCCCAGCTTTCTCTTCAACTATTTTTTTCCTTGTAAAGAGCTGCCCTTCAGCCAAGCCTGGAAGTCCACAGGCTGCCAAAAAAAACCCTGCAAAATCAAAGCAGAAGGAAATTAGAAAATAGAACAGAAGCCCTGACTTCTGTAGTGGGCCTCGGGCAGGGGTCAGAGGTCAGGGTGGTGGGGACTTG